TACAGTGCTGCCATCTCACGTGGAACATTTCAGAAAACCCTCATTGTGCTAAGTCGTAACGGTAAAATTCAGAAAAGGTCGATATAAAGTAAGTTTTTAATTAGGACTGAAGAATGATCTATATTCATACGTAGTTAAAACCATGCTGATGTATTTAGGTCATCACACGGAGTGGAATTAGTTGGGGTACAAAAAGTTTATGTGTTTTATATGGAACTCTTGGGAGTAATTGTTCTGTGCATCATTGTGGGTCACTGAAAGTAGGGAAAATGTGGTAAGGATTGATGTTAACAAACATAAAACGATATTCGTTGCATTTGTTTTATTCTCATACTTAAAAATAAAATGTCAAGTATTTACAAAATCATAGAAAATTGAGTACTAAATGTTCATCACATAAGAGTTTCTAATTAATTCTTAGTTAATCTTAAATTACTAGAATACGTTTGTTCGGAAATAATACATTCACTTAGAAAATAACATTAAATAATTTAAATCTACTTAATTTAATTACATTATTGCCATCGTAAAATTTACAAAGTGAGGTTTTGTATACCCTTCAGTTTAAACCGCAGGGACAGTTTGAATTGACGGTCAGAAATAATCTTTGAAGTTCAAAAAACTACTTTCGAATACAATTATGTACTGAAACTAATGTTGTGTAAGTATACGTGTGTTTAGTTATAAATATTAATACAATGCTCTAAGATACGTACACGAGTCTGATATTCGTTTATTACGGACTATGAAACAAACTTTCTATCGCTGCAAATATACTTCAATTACGAATTTGATTATGCTAGTTACAACTCCTTACCGTGCATTTCCATTTTATGAAGGAATATTTTCAGTGTCTATTTAGGACAGCACAGCTGCTCAAAGTAACAATGCCAGTTTAAATTGGCGTCATTTATATTATTCTGAAAACGTTACAACATTAACAGGAGAAATTCATAATTTTATTTCCTCGTCTATGGCTTGATCGTAAAAAATTTTTATTCAAAACGTAACCAAGTATTGACAACATTCGATGAATAATTCTTTCGGTAAATAAATGTATTTATTATTTATACGACTTGTTAGTCTTTCAAATGAAACGGAACTTAAGAATTAAATTCAGTTAAGGATTTAGCCACTTTAATAGTATCCGTAATGATTGAAAAGTTTTTAAACACAATATTCACAATTAGGTTCTATTTGCCAGATAACTGATAGCGAACAAGTGTTTTAGGGTTGCAAGAAAATCTTTTGCTGATATTATATATTAATTTATAGCACTGTATGTTGATAGACCTATTCAATAATTTAAATTGATTCGAATCATTAACTTTATAGATGTATTTTGTTCTAGTTTATGATCTACAGTTACAAAACACTGGGACCATAGACTAATTTTTAAAACTAATAATAGCCACGTGTAATATAAAACTTGTGATGATTTAAAAAATATACCTAATACTGCCATATAAAGACATCTAAGGAATACATATTAGATAGATAATATTAGCGTTTTCTTGTTTCTTAAAATTGTATAAGTTTGCCCAAGTTTTTTTTTCCAAGGTGTTCTGATAGGTCTGTTAGGTGACGACGAATCATGAAATACTGAGATTCTATTCTTATTTAAATAAATATACTATAAATAGATGGATGGATTTTAACATAACTAATTATGCATTTTAAGGTAAACATCGTAAAAAATATACCTAGGGAATTGATTAAAAAGAAAAATGGTATAAAGTTCAATGTGAATAAGGTGAAAAACTATTAACCTAAATGAAAGCTTAATTGCAATAATTTTATACATAAAACTAGTCATGGATATTTTTTTAAATTAGTGCAACATACCTTAACTAATTTTCTTAATTTATATTTAAATCTACTTTAGTCAGTATTAACTTGCCTCTCCGAGATTCTCGAAGTTGTTTTTTTTTAATTTTTGAAGACATATAAGTTAAAATAATCTAAGTAATTTGATAATAATAAAAATATATTACTACAATATTAGACCGATGCTGAGGATTGAGCACATTTGTAACAAACTAATATATTATGCATAGTAATTAGATCTAACACTAGGAATTAGTATTTAAAACATAGAGTAAAAATAATTGAGACTAGCTAAAAGTCCTCGCAATCGGTACTATTAAACAGTTGCCAGAGGTTATCCATTGTTTAGCACTAGAAAATGTGGCAGTAGACAAGCGCTTTCGATATGAATAAATGTCATTATCGATCGCTCTTCTCTGACAACTGCCCCATAAATTTTAATTTCGAAAAAGGCAATGTCTTGCGTCGCCACTCCTCACCTCCAAACCCATTCTTAATACAAGCACAATTGTGCTGAGCTTAATCCATTTTACAGGAATAAAAATAATATGAGTGGTTTTTAGTACTTACTATTAAAAACCAATGTATTTTATATCGCCTTATAATAAGTGGAATAATATACTGGACAAATTATCATAACTTGTAAAAATAAATAATCATAATGGAAACTATACTGGATATTTAAATAAACAATTATAATTATCCTTTAGGACACACATGTAATTATAAAAGAAAATCAGTTACTTCAAGATTTACCTAGAGATTACCGATTTCGTTTTTTTTAGGAAAGTTTACACGTTTTTGTTTACCTATTTCAAATAGTAATCAAAATAGATAAACGAAAACTACTACTCTGCCTAATACCTTTTTTTAAAGTTTTGTAAAATTACGTAATAATGTAATACGGTTTGACATTCACACAATCGAAGTTTTAGAGACCTAAACCTAAATGGCAGCGATGTCGCAAGATGGCGGTAAATAAAAGAATAGTAAGTAATAAATTAGGTAAACGATTTCGTTTTATATCTTATAATAATTGCTAAAGTCTAGTATTATGACATTTTATGAATATATATATTTTCAATAAATACCTAGTATAAAGATTACTTTTCATGTTAAAGTCGACTATTGCGAAATATATCTATATGTATATATATAAAATTAGACTAGTATTACACTAGAAGTTGTAAGTGTATAATGCTAAACATAAATGTTCATATATTCGTTCGTTCGTTTAAAAAGGAGTCTTCAAAAACTGTTTTTCAATTCTTTAAAATTTTGAAACAGTGAAGAATTAAATATTTAACCAAGAACTTTGGATATTTGAAATTTCATGAAAATCTTTTTTATTTAAGTTTGTGTTACACACGGCTGAATGGGTTTTCAATGTGATTTTTTTTTAGAATAATATTACACATTTGTCTACATACAGATATTATTAAAGTGCAATTATTTAAAAAACCACGACTGTAATGCTCATAAAAAGTTACTAGAGGGATATATTTGGATTTATTATATTGATATAGGTACTAGTTGTCACACAAATTATATTTATAAGGTCCTTTAGTGAACCCCTGAGAATGTGTGCAAATTTCAAGATGGCCAATCGAGTAGTTAATTAACAATTGTAAACTACAGATTTCTCAAAGATTCGGGATTATTGTGGTAAGTGAGTCTTGTTACTGAGTGTTCTAACTATCATAATTTTCATTGCATTTTATTTATTCAGATAAGGGAGGACACATACTTCTGACATACTTCTGAAACAGTACAATATGTCGACGCTATGTGCTTCATAAACATCAATAATGCGAAATTTTAAGCTAAAGTGTCAATTTAAATATAAAACAGGATAAAGTTCCATTTATTGCTAGTTTATCATAAAACAAAGACAATGACTAGCCTCAACAATAGTGGTGTTTCGTCGGGTGGCATTACACTTTTGCGTTTACACTAGTTTTATTTGATCCATGTTTATTCAGAATTATGTTTATGATGAATTCATGTTTAAAGAAAACATCCATACAGAAATTGAACATTTCCTTCCTACATTACTTGGGACCAGAAATGTACACGTCGTCGACGGTTCTAGATTATCAAATTAAATAAACTCGTTTTATGTTAATTTTTTAAAAGCAATAATAATATCAAAAACACCGTTTCGAATTGGTATTAATAGAAAACGGATTGTAGTTTAAATTTTATGATAATGTTAGTCAGTCGAAAACTTAGATGGTGACATATTTTTTATGACTTATTATTATATTACATTATGTAATCCAGGTAAATTAGAATTCGAAGAACTTTACAAACCATTTTTTTTCGCACTGAAGCAGGAATACTATAACGGTTAATTACAAAACTATCTTCAGAACGAATGCAATGATGTTAATTTATTCATAGAATAGAAAACCCTTTTATTGCCTTTAACTGTAATAATGACTCTAAAAAAATAATTTTGCAATCTTGATTTAAGCAAAACTGACATGACTTGAAAATTATTTTATATGAAATTCAATGAATGTATTAGCAAGTATTTATTATTGCAATTAAATGAGTATTATATTATTATACATCATATTTATATTTACGTTCATGTGATCTAAAATTCATTTCTAGTCAGACTATATTTAAGTTTTCCTTTTGGAATCATGAAACGCCTCATAGTTTACATTTAAAATATTTAAGAAGATTGCGTTTTACAATCAATTTAAAATGCACGATTATACTGTTTAGTTGTGTGCACTTTAATTGTATTAGCCATGCTATATGAAAGTCTAATTTGACATTTTTGTCAAGAAAAACTGTGCAATGCCTCTTTACGAGTCTAGTAAAACATTTTCTTTATTAAAACAAGTTTGCTGTTTTTTTAGGTTTATCTGTAAATTAATTGTAAACTTGGAAATTCAGAATGTATTTAAATAAGGTACATTTTAAAAGTACCTAAAATATATAACAAAATTACCAAAAAAATGCCGTAAAAATGGCGAGATACTTGTTCTGAGTTTACGCTGATTGAGTATTTCATCACCTTAATGTAGAGAGTAATGTAAAAGATTGCTATATAAAACACAATCTAACCTTCCAATGTTCATTACTTAGAAGTTATGTTCAGTCGGAAATAATTTTTTCCGAAGATATATGAAGACCAATTATGTTAACTGTGTTTTAAATCACACCTCAATGTGACCGTCTGGTATAGGTGGGTGCTTCAACTTCAGCTTCTTTGGGTTTAGTAATGCAGGCTTCTGTGTGCGTGTATGCCACACATATACTTTAGTACAATTCTCGGCTAACGGTTCCAATTCATCCTTCGTTGTAAAATATTTCAGTATTTCACTTTCCTGGAATTAGTACAAAATATATATTTACGTTGTTGTATGTTACGTTCCTAATTTAGTGGTTAGTATATTGCAGTTTGAGTGGCACTCTTTGAGTTAGTAATAATACTATTAATATGGGAGATAGGCGTGTCTTAGAGGAAGACTTTATGTTGTTTTATTGTATCGTCTTTATCATCACATTCTACTTTTACATTATGACCTTACAAACCTGGAATCCAGATTGCACTTTTCTAGAGAATTTTGCGTCAGGACGATCGAGGAACATAGTGGCGTTTATGGCGAAACCAGCCATGTCAATTGGGAACGGCCTAAACGGTTTCCAAAAGGCGTTGAAATCGCTGACTTTCCCATTGGTAACAACCGGCATTTCAACTCGCATTCCCCCCACAATGCCCACGGGCCATACGCCTACTTTCTTAATTTTTCGCATCTGAAAACGGACAACAAACAAAGGTATAAGAAAATACATCTGGAATACACAAGAGTTATAGTTATCCTACTTCCAGGATTTGAAAAAATCTGCAGCGCGTAAATATCTTTTTCCTGTTACGGGTGTTTACGAGACATCGGTAGGCGTTGTTATCAGGCACGTATTCGGCCTATTTGTTGTAAAAAACTAATTAGATAAGTTGACTACACAATAAAAGATATTAGTTAGAAAGATTTACTGATACATGTTATCTTTGGCCGCAAGTATCGGGGCCATTGCACTCTATGATAATAATAACTAAGCTAGAATCCGCCATTGATATATTAAACGAGAAATAAAACGACGGATGGACAAGTTTAACCCAGTTTTACTGAAGCAAAACCGTTCTTCGTAAAACGCATGCGTTTGTTATACTTACTAAGCTAGTGTGAAAACCTCAGCACGAAATATCACATGCAGTCTTAGTCATACGAAGTATAGACATAGTGCTGTATTCGACGCACTATACGTTGAATACAGCACTTACGAATACACTAATTGTACATATTTATGTAGCTGACACATATGATATTAAGCGACACAGTAGAATAATTTTTCTTTATATGACTTACAAGAGCTGTGTGTTGCTGTGTGTGTTAAAATATTATTGTTGATTACTTTTTAATCTATAAACCTTAATACAAATTATGAGTTTAATACCTATACACTACAATACGAAAGTAGCGACAGTCTCATAACTGTCGAGACTTATCTATTGATATATGCAACAATAAAGCGGAAGGGTTCGTTCAAATTGCTACTACACCCTAAACAAAATCAAGGTAATTGGTAACTGGTGAGATTGAGGATAGATTCTCTACGATGATTCATTATCACAATGTCCACATGAGTTCGATACACATATGATACATTAGTGTCCACGGGCGGCGTTGTAAATTATAATAAATATTTTTAATACTGCCGATGTTTTTTAAACTTTATACATATTATTATTTTAAACCTCTAAAGGGCGGTGTAAAGCACCGCAAGGCATTCAAATGATTGAAGGCATTTACTATTCGAATTGATATAGAAGATATTTGATTCCTTATTAAGAAGCATTTATATCATCTTTATATTTAAACCATTTCATATCGTAACGTCGTATTAGCCCCTTGCGCTCAGCATGTCCGTCAGATGAAAATGTAAAACACAATTGTGATATTTCAATTAATGGCCTGCAGTGCTTGGGAAAAAGTTAATTTCAAAATTAGATAGTCTTAATGAGAGAAAAATCATCATTGATGACTAAAAAAGCCAAAATAAATTACAGTTCTAAACACGCTTTTGTAACTAACCGAACTAAAAAGTATCTAGAAAATATTTTTTCATAAGTTTCATTTCATTTAAAAAAGACAACTCCCGCACTAGGAATAAATCCTGTGTCGCGGGGGACTTTACAAACATACATGAAACGGACACAAATTACACCCAGACTCAGAACAACAATTTGTGGATCAAACAAAGTGTTATCCCATGTGGGGTTTGAACCCACAACACTCGGCGCAATAGAAAGCGGCGTGGCGACCGCTTAAACCACTACGCCATCCGTCGAGTTCAAAAAGTTCAAAAAGAAAAACCATTTTATCGTAAAAAAGCGTGGGGTGATTAGAATTCAAGATATTCTATAATATAATAACTTTACTTTTATCAATATCTGTAAATGAAATATTTTTTTAAAAGATTGAGATCTAGCACCCCAAGCTTTTTACGATAAAATGGTTTTTCTTTTTGAACTTATGGAAAATTATTTATTACTTTTTAGTTAGGCTAGTTACAACAGCGTATTTTTTAGTTTTTTTTTTACTGAAATGTATTTAAATAAATATATAGATACCACTAATAAAAAGGTTAAAAATATTATTAAGCAGTCTTATTGTTTGAAGAAAGATAAGAACGATGTACATTATGTATAAAAAGCTAAAAAGTAATTGCGTTGGGCTTAGGCACCAGTCATCACACCTCTCTTTTCATCAATCTAGGGCTCATATCTGCTATATTGCTATAATGCTATTTACATATTTACACAGGCCAGGTTATGCAGACGATTTTACTTCGAATTTTATTTTTATATTACGATTAATAAGTTTGACACCAAAAACATGAAGCTAAACAAAAACAATTTAACCCGCTTCATTTTAACATATTTCAAATTATTTTATAGAGCTCTAAAGCCACTGAAGGTCGAAGCATGATTTTTGTTTGTTATTTTCAACAATCTCAATACTCCATCCATTAAGGGAAACCGTGTGGAAATTTGTTGGATACTTTTGGAGTTCATAGGATTTAAATCGACAGACAGATAAAAGAACACACAAAGCGGCTGGCGGGGGATAAGCTAGTTATTTTGAAAAAGTAAATTCTGTGTAAAAATGTTAAACGCTAAAGATATTACATCAAATTGATTTCTTGAACTTGAAAGTAACAATTAATAAATTGAAGCCGTATATGAAAGATAAAAACCAAGCGAACGAATAGCAATCTGTAGTTTTTTTTTTCAAAAGTAAAAAATACTTCTATATCGTACTACACGAACACAAACCACAATCGATATTGTTGTATTTGCTAACAAAATTTCTTCATAACGTGATTAAGGTCAAGGTCGTGACGATAGATCATTGTAAGATGCAACCATTCGTGTTGACTGCAAACTAAATAATTTGCGAAAGAGGAAGTAGCGGAAATGGAACAAGGAAATAGACTTTTATAATCTAAGACTGAAATAGCACACTTAGAACCAATTAATGATAGTACTACGGTGAAGAAGGCAAGCCTTTCTTTCTATCATTGTAAAGTAACCAATATTGGTTGCTTGAAACTAAACTTTTAATACCTAATTAAATAACTTTTAACGATAGCAAAGTTCCGTGCTTATATGCCTTTGTGAACCCAATATTAAATTTAACTGCACTTATATGAATGTCCAACAAACTTTTGAATTCTTTAACTACAAGAGTTAAGAATCATAGAAACGTTTAGTGATACAAATGACTCTTCGAAGTTGGTAGTTTCCTTTTTAGTTAACAATAATAAATAATATTTAGCTATGTGAACTATTTTTGTCCAACCTGCCGAAGTGGCTTTACATAAAACTCCAAAGTAGAACGGAAACCCTGTGTAGTTAACCCCAATACGTTAGATTTAGTCGATGTACTAGTGTGTAAGAGGGTTACAATAGCTACACAATATGAATTTTACTAAATATAAATTGATTATTCTTATCGAAACGGAAATAGTTTTTTTTACAGCACGTTATCGCCTTGTATCATTACGTTTTGTTTCCCTGTGCTGATAGTAAATGCGTTTTTTTATTTAGATTTTAACTCATTTTTTATTATTAGCCATATTTTATTATGTTATTTATTTTTTTGCGTTGAAGGGTCCAGTACAGTAATAAATAAATCAACGTAAATTTCAAAATCACTAGTTTATCCGCCGTTGCTTTGTCTGTCCTTCTGTTGTTTGTCGATCTAAATCTTATGAACTCCAAAAGTATCCAACAGATTTTTACACGGTTTTCACTAACGGATAGAGTATTTCAGAAGAAATTTTTCGGTCTATGATATAATTCATAATGATGATGTAATATTAAACATGTTTAATTTAATTTCGTTAAACGGTTCAATTTAGCTTCATGTTTTTTGGTGTCTACTTTATTAATTGTAATATAAATATAAAATCAGAAGTAAAATCCTTGGCGTGGCCTAAACTGAGCAAATATGTAAATAGCAATTATAAAGATATGAGCGGTTGGTTTTAGAAAGTCGGATCAATACCCTAGATTGATGCAAAGAGGTGTGATGACTGGTGCCTAAGACCTAAGACAAGCAAATTTTAGCTTTTAATACATAAATGTACATCACTCTTATCTTTCTTTAAAAAAAATACGGCTGCTTAATAATATATTTCTATCTTTTTGTTAGATGTATCTTTATTTAATTTAATTAAACCATCTTTTTCTGTATGTTATCTAGATTGAAATTAACTCTATCCCAAGCAATTCAGACCATTCATTGTAATATAACTATCGTGTTTTACATTTTAATCTAACCGACATGCAACGGGCTTATTCGACCTTTGTACTTATATAAAAATAAATGCGGTGAAGATAATAAGAAATGAGCACCGTAAATACCAGTACCAGCTATATTTAAGAAAGTGATTTGATGGGAGGTGTCACTCCTATTACACCAGAAAAATTATTACGTATAAGGAAAATATTTTCTACACAAAAATAAATACCTGTTTGCTTTTTCATTCATAATTTAGTACAAACTCTACATTTTGTCATACCATGGAATCTATTAGAAGTTACGTAGTAAAGTTCTTATTGATTTTAAGGTTTAAAAAAAAATAGGTAAATGGATGTGCATATTATTTTGCCAGTGCGCGATGCGCAAAGTGATCTCCAATCTGCCGCGCTCGGATTGTTTCGATGCCGATAACTATACAAACTGAATTAAAGAACTTCAATTAGTATAACTTTGAAACAGTGCAACAAAAAGGTCGCCTGTTTGTTTATAAAAGTGTAATATTGAATTTGTCAAAAAAATTACGTATGAATTTATATATTTGAAATTTATTCGTTTATCTCGGTAGGCAACGATTTGGATTATTTTTCCATGCAGATGAGGTACTGTCTTTTGATTTTTTTTATGGTATAATGGGGCAAAGCGAGGTAAGCAACTACCGCCGCCCATGGACACCTGCAACTCAAAAGTCACAAGTGCATTGCTGCCCTTGGATTCCTCCCGCTTGAGTCACCGGGAAGGGGGGGGGGGGGGGATTTTGGGCTCCGGTAACCTCACTCACTCAATGAAAGGCAACGAAAGAATTGCTTAACACCGATGAGGCCGTGGCATCACTCCGGTCGAGCCGGCCCGTTTGTGCCGAAGCATGGCTCTCCCACGGAAAATATATATCTCCCACGGTATATATCTAAGTGTCTTTCCTGAAAAATAAACTTAGAAACGCCTACTGTAGCTCGGTTGCCTAAGTCTTTATAATAATCATTCAGTCTTAAATCATTTCCTAATAATTAAGGGATTCAAATCACTTTGTTATAAAACTGACATTGTGCAAAATACCCTATCAAAGAACCTACGATGCACGCGAAAATTTAAAGTGGTGTATTGTATCAGCCTCGGAAGTGTATGTCAATTACTCTCTTGACCTAAAAAGTGATCGTTGAGATTGAAATGTACAGCACAACTTGTATTTATGAATTTCGGTCGCAGTAAAATTAAGTGAGATCATAGACGTTAACGATTATAAATTAAACCAGCACGTCGATGGGTACCGGGTACCAATTGTTCTATATTGTCAAGCTGTATCGATTTGTTTTAAGCCTGTGGACGTTGCTATGTGTCTAGACTGAAACAATGTTAATGCGAAGACTAAAATGAGTACCCAAGAAGTTCTTAGAATAACTAAGATTTAAATGTATTATTAATAGAGAATATGTAATTAAACTTACCGTTATGATCCTGTAAGATTTGATTTAATTTTATTAATGTCTACTATAGTTTGTTAAAGAAATAAATAACACAATTTATGAACGTAAATAGGATCTTAATTTTTATGAAATAAAATGGTAAACAAATCTAAAGTGTGAAACCTGTACTGTACCTGTACTGTACCTTCAGAAGGAAACCAGGATTAGACCAAAGTAACAAATGACTTCAATAATATGTAATACATAGGAAATAATATGCATGTGTATGTAACATACGTAGCAATACATATTTATTCACCCTTTTTTTTTTTTTTTTTTTCCGTGCGGAAATCCCCTCGGATACCACCTGTCGGTGGCATGTCGGAACATATTTATTCACCCTATACAAGTACCTTATGTCAAACGTATCTTAGCTTATACATCGTAACTAATATTCATAATAAGCTTCTGATTCGGCTCGGGTTAAATTGCAAGGACTTTAAGGTAACGAACAAATGACTAAAGGGGGACCTTAATATAACTTAGTTTAAAGCAATCGAAATAGTAAGCCTTACCTCATCAAAAACCTTCAAAGAATATGTGTTGTCGTCATCCATAAAATAAACAACACCTGTCTTATCTTCCGCCGTCTTCAAATGTTGCCTTAGCCAATCTAAAGCCTTATTTCTTTGTTCAACACCACTTGCCTGTAATGCATATATTATACTATCACTAATAGGTATCGATAACATTTGTAACACATGTTAATCTACAACTGTATTTAATTCAATGAAATTAGTTACAGACTTTATATAACATAAACGGAATCGTTACTGAAATTAGTAACACTAGTTTTAATTAAGAATACATTTTATACACACATTAGGCACATTTTTATTAAAGTGTTTTTGTCGATATGAATCGTCTATAGAACGCAAAGAACTTTGCGATTTTTTTTAAAGATGGTTGATGACTAATAAATCAATCAGAGAAAATGGCTCGATAAAAACGGTAACTTTGAGGACTCAAGGCTAAGTAAATACGAGGGGTGATCAATAAGTAATGATAATCGAGTATTTCTAGAACGCACAAAAACCCAAATTATTTTTTTTCTGCTTGCTTATATATCCACTACTTCAGCTTCAAAAAAATGTATAAATAGGACACCATTACCGGGAGATACATTCATTTGAATACGAACTGTCGAAGAGAAAACATCAAAATGGAGAAAAATGAAATAAGAGCTGTCATCAAGTACCTCTGCCTGAAAAAAATGTCTACCAAAGACATACACAGCGACTTAGAGGAAACATTGGGGGAGTCTGCTCCTCCATATTCCACAGTCGCACGCTGGGCAAAGGAATTTAAGCTGGGCAGAACCTCCACTGAAGATGAACATCGCGAGGGACGCCCTTCCACGTCCCTTACTGGAGAAAACGTCAAAAAAGTGAAAGATATCGTGTTGGCCGATCGAAGGGTGACCGTAAGGCATGTAGCTGAGGTCACAGGGATCTCCTATGGCAGCGTTCAAAAATCATTGTCAACAAAATGCATATGAAAAAGTTCTCTGCGCGTTGGGTACCGAGAATGTTAACCGACGAGCAAAAAAAGAAACGAGTCGACATTTCGAGGGTGAATCTTCAAAAGTTCCAGGCCGATAAAGATTTTTTTTTGTCGCGTTTTGTGACCATGGACGAGACCTGGATCCACCACTTTGATCCCGAAACCAAACAACAACGACTTGGAAACGAGCTTCCTCACCAACGCCGAAGAAATTCAAAGTGTCAAGTTCAGCGGGAAAGGTTATGGCGTCTGTTTTCTGGGATGCAGAAGGAATTATTATTGTGGAATATTTGGAAAACGGGGCCACTATAACAGGCTCTTACTACGCAGGCCAAATAAGAAGATTGCGAGAAGCTATTAAGTCAAAAAGACGATACGACGATAGAAAAAAGATACACTAATCAATAAGTAATGATAATCAATATGAAACAGAACTATTAGATTAAAAAAAGTATTTTATTTTTCAACATAGTCTCCTTGCAAGTTAATACATTTAGTGTATCTTTTTTCTAAGCCCATGATTCCCTTAGAAAAAAATTCTTTGTCTTGACCCTCGAAAATGCCTCTACTGCGGCCATCACTTCACTATTGTCCTCAAATTTGTTGCCCCGGAGGTGTTCTTTGAGCCGAGAAAAGAGGTAGAAGTCACTGGGAGCTAGATCTGGCGAATAGGGAGGGTGTTCGAGCAGTTCGAACCCCGTTTCTTCAATGGCAGCCATCGCAACTGCGGCTTTGTGAGCCGGGGCGTTGTCTTGGTGAAACAGCACTCCAGCGCGCAGTTTACCGCGTCTTTTTGACTTAATAGCTTCTCGCAATCTTCTTATTTGGCCTGCGTAGTAAGAGCCTGTTATAGTGGCCCCCTTTTCCAAATATTCCACCATAGTAATTCCTTCTGCATCCCAGAAAACAGACGCCATAACCTTTCCCGCTGAACTTGACACTTTGAATTTCTTCGGCGTTGGTGAGGAAGCTCGTTTCCAAGTCATTGATTGTTGTTTGGTTTCGGGATCAAAGTGGTGGATCCAGGTCTCGTCCATGGTCACAAAACGCGACAAAAAAAAATCTTTATCGGCCTGGAACTTTTGAAGATTCACCCTCGAAATGTCGACTCGTTTCTTTTTTTGCTCGTCGGTTAACATTCTCGGTACCCAACGCGCAGAGACCTTTTTCATATGCATTTTGTTGACAATGATTTTTTGAACGCTGCCATAGGAGATCCCTGTGACCTCAGCTACATGCCTTACGGTCACCCTTCGATCGGCCAACACGATATCTTCCACTTTTTTGACGTTTTCTCCAGTAAGGGACGTGGAAGGGCGTCCCTCGCGATGTTCATCTTCAGTGGAGGTTCTGCCCATCTTAAATTCCTTTGCCCAGCGTGCGACTGTGGAATATGGAGGAGCAGACTCCCCCAATGTTTCCTCTAAGTCGCTGTGTATGTCTTTGGTAGACATTTTTTTCAGGCAGAGGTATTTGATGACAGCTCTTATTTCATTTTTCTCCATTTTGATGTTTTCTCTTCGACAGTTCGTATTCAAATGAATGTATCTCCCGGTAATGGTGTCCTATTTATACATTTTTTTGAAGATGAAGTAGTGGATATATAAGCAAGCAGAAAAAAAAAATTGGGGTTTTTGTGCGTTCTAGAAATACTCGATTATCATTACTTATTGATCACCCCTCGTAAATGTATTAACTTGCAAGGAGACTATGTTGAAAAATAAAATACTTTTTTTAATCTAATAGTTCTGTTTCATATTGATTATCATTACTTATTGATCACCCCTCGTAGTTCGTAATTTAATGTACAAGACAGAGCAGTTCTTCAACTAATCACTGGCTGTAATCCCTTAAGCAACAGTTGACTCGCTTGTTCGTTTGCCCCAACACCATAAAAAGTAAACTGGGACAGAGTAGGCATGTTTTAATAAATAATCTTTGCCTTGAAAGAAAAGGGATATCAGAAAGGGTTTGCTCGAAGGGAGGCTCGTCTTAGTTTTGAAATTATGTAGGTGTTAAAACAGACATAAACCACTCAATCGGCATTGTCTCTCGTGGTTTCGAGGCGTGGTTTGGGTTATTGTAGGTTTACACTAGGAAGGGGTGCTGGGCTAGAAAACCTCCTCGTGGTGCACCCTGGAAACGCTGGCGATGGTACTGTTCCCTCCTTGTCCTCTTGGAGGAGAGGATTATCGCCAGCGGCCAATATTCTAGCAGAAGAGGCAGCCGTTCATCGGCTCTCGGGCAAGGCCTGGTCCAGCAGGGTGGGCGTGTCTGCCGGTTGCCCTGCTGGCTCTTCGCTCTTCGGAGCATGGAGGAGGAAACCTCGGTAAAAAACCTGATGGCGGGGCCCTGTAGGGGCCACAGTTTCTCCGCTGACAGCGGTGGAGAAAGGAGGACGGGCTCGGCGTGTACTCACACTACCACCGAGCAGGCAGGGGGACGTAGTCTCCCTGTCAACCGTCGGCATATCGTAATCCCGAGAAGAGCGCTGTGGTTAAGTCTCGCGGCTCTGATCGGGGGCGAGGGTCTTGGCTTAACCGCCCGGACCGCGAGGAAGATAACCTCTCTAAAAAATTCCCCGAATCCCGTGTTCTGGTGCGTGGCCAGGGGATGCATGGCTGATGGGAAGTTCAGTCGCGAGCGCACTCCAAGCCGAGGTACCTGCGGACCCCTCGGTTGGGTTAAAAACTTACGCTTGCCCGGGTAATGGGGGATCTCTGCCCGGGTGGACCTTTAGTTCTCCCCCACTCGTGGGATTATTATGGAAAAACTTAATTTAACCAAAAGCAAAACGATCGGAAAAAAAACACAACAGACCAAGGCAAGCCTAACGGACAAGGAGACGAAGAGGAGGAATAGTGGAGTGGATGGGTCATCCACGGAGGGTGAGATAGCGTCGGGAACGCCTATCTCGATGGGGCTCCCAGAAGTCAGTCTGACGCTGGTCTCTGGGAGCCGAAGAGCATCGGATCGTATTCGTTCCGGATCCGCCGTCTCCTCGGATGGCGCGGAGGCCATGGAGGCGGAGCGAAGCGACAGCCGAAAACGCGGACGCTCAGGGGACGTGGAAACCGACACGTCCGGCGAAATGATGCCACCAAAGGTGGCAAGCAGTCGCCGAGGGAGGGCGCGTAAACCGGCCTCGGTCTCGACCCCGTCAGGCTCCGCGTTCTCAAACGCGGAGTCCTACAGGAGCGTGCGAGTGGACGGCGAGGCCGTAGCGGAGGAGGAGATCGCGGATCTCCTGCTCAAGGTTCGGGAGCCGGTGGGGGGAAATGCCCCCCAGGCTCCCGTGTCCGTGCAGGAGAGGGCGAAAGCGGCGGTGGCCGTCATCGACAAGGTGGCCACCAAATCCGTGAACCTTAAGGGCTCGTTTGTGAGGGCCCTTAAGGACTCCTCCTCCGCTTTGTCGGAGGTCGTGGAGGGCCTAGCGGGCGACGTCTCTCGCCTGCAGGTGGCCAACGAGAGGCTGACGGAGCGGGTGAACGAGCTGAGTGCTCAGTTCGCCCGCTTCCAGGCGAACCTCCCCGAGCGGGAAGCCCCGTCCGCGTCCCAGCCTGCCCCTACCACCAACTCAGGGGCATTTGACTCCCAACTGCGAGAAATCCTCATCGCAGTTGGGAATATGCTGGACGGACGCCTGGCTGGCCTGGAGGCGAGACTGCCCCCTGCGCCGAGTATGCGCCCCCCGCTCGCGTCGGCACAGCGGCCTAAGGCCGCCGCTCCGACCGCGCTCCCCGTTGTGGGAGGCCGCGTTTCTTACGCGGCGGCGGCGTCTGCCCCTACTCCATCGGCTCCACAAAAGCCGAGGAGGGGGGCCAAGGCACCGGCCCAGGCGCCGGCCAAGGCACCGGCTAAGGCGCCGGCCAAGGCACATCTCCAGGCGCCGGCCAAGACGGGGCCTAAAACAGCGCCGAGGAGCGGAGTGGCATTCCCTCCGCTCCCCACTCCGACACCCCTGCCGGGCCCCTCCGCACCTGCCCCCTCCAACGAGGGTTGGCAGGAGGCGAGGGGCTCCAAGAAGTCCCGAAGGCGGGCCAAAAAGGCTGCCAAAAAAGCAGCCCAGGCCCAGCCTTCGCCACCGGTGGCAACGGCCTCCACAAAGAGGCCGCGGAAGCTGCAGCCGCCCAAAACCGCGGCT